TAAAAAGCAGCTGTTGTGTTTGGGTGGTTTTGAACCTCAGAGTTCACCTACCTGTCACTCAAAGAGGCCACACCAATTCTACTTTAAGTCTTAATAAAATGTAAACAGGTGAGTTATATAAACAGTCGTCATGAAGGAGGAAATTAGCTCTAGAGACCAAAACTGTTTTTGTACCAGGCTGTAGACATGTTTATTTCTGCTGTAAGGTTGGACAGTTTAAAATGGGAGTCTATGGGGATTGACTCACTGTTGGAGCCAGACTCCAGTGGTCATTAGATTTTGGTTTTGTCACTTCAGCGTTGGCTTCATGTTTCAGCTCGGCCCATCCATTGTGTTGTTTTTTCATGAGCTCCACTGCAGCAGTGTGATCCTTCAGGTGGTCTTTGCTCTGTTTGTCTGTATATTGGGTCTCTGAGAAATCTGCTGGTCCTGTTGTGTCCAGTTTCTAATATGAAGAGAGACTGAAGACACAGATTCTTTTGTGTTGTGACATAGACATGGTCTTTACTATATTTTGTGTAAAGGATCAGTTACCTTCACTTTCGACATCATCACAAGAACTAAAAACAGCAAAATAAGAAGAACATTTAAAGTGCCTCATAATAACATCATGTTCTTGCTTTCTTTGCTGTCTTTACATTGTGTTAAGATAAATGAGGAAGTGTCAGGTCCATGATTACACCCAGATATCATCTCCAACATCTCCGATAGTTAATAAATTTGGTCTTCTTGGTTTTCAGATGTATTGGATGGAAAATTGTCTAAAACTAATTGTTCTGTTGTGAGAGGACTTGATACAGAGACACTATCTTTTTTTTCATATTTGAGTCAAAAAAGAAAAGAATTTGAATATCAGCTCAAACACACTCTTACTAGTTTACAAAATGAACAAGTCTGGATCACTGGAGGGTAAAACACGGGTCTCTCATGGTACTGTCCGGGTCCTCCACTTCCTGTCTGCACCGGTGGTTTCACATGAATCCCAGATAAAGTTTTAGAGACTGTACTCATGATAGAAGGTCGTCTACTTACAGAGAACGAAATTCTTATCAGTATTTTCATTCATCTGAAACTCTCAGTCATTGAGAAGTTTTCATGAATCATTATCGTGACTGAGCTGATCTCTGCTCAGGAAAAACCCGCCGTCCGTTAATGTTTGATGAGTTTATGGCTGTGGGACCATGTGACATCAGCTGTTTTATACCTGGGTGGACCTGACTTCCCGTCGACCTGCTCACTGAGGAGCAGCTCTGTCAGTGACGCCTCTGTGTTTTATGGTGTGTTTGTAGTCCAGCATCAATATTGTTGCTATGGTTACCTGCAGGTTAGTACACCTTGATCTCTGAACAAAGGTTAAACTGTAATTACGAGCTGGCCAATCAGAGACTAGGGTTTTCTGTTACTATGGTCAGAGTAGAGTCAAACAACTGTGGGAGCCCAGAAAGTTTCAACTGATCCTTGAGCTCAGGGTTCCTTGAGTGATTAAACTGCCAAAAGAGCCTGAAGCATCAGTGTGGTTGTTGAAGAACAGACACCTGGCAGCCAATCAGAAATGAGCATTATCTGTTGCCATGGCACAAAGTCAGGTATTGAAAAAAACAGAGCAAGTTCCTAGTTAAACTTTACCTTTTGGACTCACATTGTTTGGGTGTAAGTGCCATTTCACATTGATGTGGACCGTTTGAAGAGTCAGTTGTGTGAAGGACATCATACTGACAGTGTGATGTGCGTCAACCACACACCTGTGCTGTCTTGATTTGCTTCATCATGGGTTGAATTGACTACGAGGCTTTGAAATGAACTTGATTTGTGATTTTCACCTCTAGTTCATTAAAGCTCCTTTTCCACGGGAGACAATGGAACAAAAGCATTCACACCTGGGTCACATGATTCCGCAGTAAATGCAGGTATTTATCGGCTCCGATCAACAGTGATGTAAACACAACACCAGAGTGAACATACTTTTTTTCCTCTTTTCCAGCTGTGACATCTTTCAGAGCACAGACACTGTAGACACACCTGTCACCTGTCCAGCACGGTGCTGTTTAACTACAAACACTGGGGCTACACTGAGCTCCAGGATGAAAGAGTGAGCAGCAGCCCACGGATAAGTTTTAAAAACACACAATCACTGATCGAAGCATCTCATACAGAAGCTCCAAAACTTTTACAGGAGGACCAGATCTGTTTTATTACTTTGCACAGCAGGTAGCAGCTCACTCGAGGAAGAATAGATCAAAGCTATTATGCCGGTTCTGCACATGTAAAAATAAACCCTGTATTATAAAAAACCAAACATTTGTTGTATTGGTATTTTTTTAATGGGTCACAGACACTCGTCCATTCTAAATAGTACACTTTAATCTTGTCCGTTAGTGGTTAATGGAAGGTTAACGAGTGTCATCTATTGGTTGTAAAAAAAATTCAAACTGAGCAACCCTAGAACTGATGTCTCTCCTTACATCTCATCTCAGAACAGCATTCTGGGGCGTCGCGTAGCGCAGTGGGTTATGCAGGCGCCCCATATATAGAGGCTACAGTCCTCACTGCAGCTGGCCCCTGGTTCGACTCCTGCATCGGACAGCCCTTTCCTGTGTGTCATTCCCCATTTCCTGTCCCTCTACTGTCCTGTCCATTAAAGGCACAAAAAGCCCAAAAAATTCTTTAAAAAAAAAAGAAAAAAGACCAGCATTCTGTCCCATAAAAGATCTGATGCCTGTTTGTATTCATCATGTAATTCACTGCCTTCTTATGGCAGCAGTAGGCTATTGTCTCTGGAAGCTAGCTTGACTACCAGTTGATGCTACTCACTGTTCTGTCATTCATGAAAACCTATAACTTTGAGGCCCAGGATCAAGCATAAACATCACATAGAAATCAGTCCACAGGCTGTTGTAAGCAAACAAGAAAGTCTCAGTTTTAAATTTTTGTTACAATTTGTTCACACAGCAGTAATAAAAAAGTGATAAATAAATGTTAATAGCTTCACATTGTTACATATAGTACCTTTAACATGAATATGCTAATGGATTTTGCACTAACTCACAAACCAGTGGTGTAGATAGTTGATTATAAAGGGACATTTGTGTCTGTGAGTCTTTGGTTGAATGTTATATTGGTTGAGAAGGATGAATGAATCTTCCACTGTAAGAAAGGTCAAACTGCCCCCTCCTCTGTCCTTGACCTGAACTCAACTGGGCATCTTTCAGGAGGTGGAGGAGGCAAATGCGTTTCCATGGTGACTGTGCGTCACCAAGTGTTTGCTTCAGTCCCGACTTCTGTGTTATCTGAGCAGCTGTCATAAAGTGACTGTCTCAGTGAGGGTGGGGTCTTATCAGCAGCTCAAAGGCTAAAAGACCACAACATTGTCTGAACACAACAGACCGATTCTTCAGGTGTGGTCAATGTAGAAGAGATGCTGTGCTGTGAGTACATCATTTGAAAGAGCAGAGAACTGGACTGCAACATATTTCAAATTCACAGCTTCAGTGACTCATGGTTGAATCATTAAAAATAACAGTAAAAAGAAATAATCATCACAGGAAGTCATTTTATAACTTATCATTTAAATGTATCAGTTTTATTCAAATTTAAAAAAACTAAACTTTTCTTTTTAATAAAAAATGTTTAACAAAGGAGGCTCACTTTATAGGTTTGTTCAGGGCTTTCAGCTGTATCTCACAGTCTTCATCAGCACATGCATTAGATGAAGACAAGGTGAGGTTAGAAGTTCTAGTTTTTGTTTGGAGTGCAGTGATTAATTATTAACTTTTGTGCCTCTGATTTCCCTTCACTTTGACATATAAAGAAATAAAGATAAAAGGTCATTTAAATGGGCACACATCTGAAATGTTCTCCAGAGAGCAGTTAGCTGAGCAGCTTCTAATAGCAGCTGTAATCAGTGCTGAGGCAGGGGACTATTTATTTACTCATTTATTATATTTGGTTCATTTTGAAGTGCAAAGTTTTCCACTGGTCCTCTGCAGCTTGTAGCCTAAATTAATGACTGATGGTGCCAACAGTTATTCCTTCATCTTAACTTTAGCAAAACAGAGGATACGATTGTTGATCTCAGGAACGTGGTGGATTGGAAACCTTAGCAGACATAGACTCCACTGTTTTGTCAAAGTGTGCAGTAATAATAATATTTTTAAAGCTCCATATTTTCCTCTTCTCCTGTGTTGTATTTCAAGTGTTGATCCAGACGAAAATATATAACTACATCTCAGTGTAGTTTTACATCTCCTCTCTCAGGCTTCTCTCTGGAGCTCTAATAACAACAGGTCGGTGAGCCAATCAGAAGAGAGGAGGTTTTGAGCCTTTCTTCTGATTGGCTGAATGTTTTCTGAGTGATCCAATAAAAATATAGCAGATTTCAGGTAAAAACTCAGAGAAACCAAATCCTGCAAGGCTGGATGGTGGGTCCAGGTGGGCGGGGTTTGAGGCATGGCTGAGGGTGGTGACTGCTTTGTTGTGACATCACAAAGTTCCAGAAGTTCTGACGGCTGGTTTTAAGCCTCAGTTTCTGAATACAGGCTGTGTGCATTGCTCTGTGGACTGAGCACTTTGATACTTTCACAGTATTAATATAGAACCTAGACCTGCTTTATACTCAAAGAACACATGGACTTTAGACTGGATCTTTAGACTATATGGAGCTTTAAGAAAGCAGTGACTGTCCCGGTCTGACCAGATCAGGTTGAGGTAGTGCTGTCTGGTTGTAACCTCAAGGTTCCCACCTGTTCAGCTCTGGTTGTAGATTTTCTTAACTCGACTGTAGAAACTATTCAGGATTTGGATGTTATAGAATCTGGATGGGTCTGGCCTTTAGGGTGATGAGTCCTCTGTCTTTTTTTTTCTTTTTGTGTAGAACAGTTTGTGTTTGACTTGTACTTCATGCCTGACTGTCATGGTTTCTGTCTTTCACTGGTGATTCTATAACTGAGTCACATGGCTACAAAGAACATTGATAACTTCATCTCCCTCCCCTTCCTCCCTAGGTTCCTCCCTCCCTGTTCCCCCTCCCCCAGCTCCATCATGCCCATCCTCAAGAACCTCCCAGTGCGCCTGAAAGGCGGTGGTCCAACTCTAGACAACGCTTTAATCCTCCGCAGGATGAGCCTCAACATCACCCCCCACCATCACCATCACAACCCCTTCGACGACGACGACAGCATCCATGACAGCAGCGGCCATGGCAACCACTGGTCACCCGGCAGCTCTCTCCTGGACGGCGACGTGCCGAGGGACCGCAACCCATTTGAGGATGAGGAGGATGAGAACGAGGCCAACGAGGGGAAAAAGGGAAGTGGAGGAGGAGGAGGTTCAGCAAAGAGTTCCTTCAAGTTTAAGTCGCCACTGAAGACTCTTGGGAAGTTGGGGAAGACCCTGAGAGTGTCAGTGAGGAACAAAGGAAGTGCAACCCCCTCCCCACAGGGGTCGCTGCAGGGAACCCCATCACCTGCAGAGAAAAAGAAGAGGGGGAGGAGGAGCTCTGAAGGAAGTCTGCTCAGGTAAGGTGGGATAAAAACTGTTGAGGTAAAGCGAGAAGATTGGAGCTTGTTAAGGTTGACAGGGAGAAGGGTCGTCTGTTGAGAGAAAGTGAAATGATGAAAGTTTGTTGATGTTAAGAAAGATGGGAGGAGCTGAAGCCAAAGAGGGATGATGAGAGTTTGTTTTAGTTATCAGGTGACTTTTTTGAGATAAAAAGCAACAAGGGAAATCTGTTGAGGTAAAGGTTGGAGTTAAAAAGGGTGAGTTGATTCAGTTAATGTAAGGATGGATGATGGGAGATTGTTAAGGTAGAGAGGAATCATGGGAGATTGTTAGGGTAAAGAGCTACAGTAGGACTTGGTGGGAGTTTGTCAGGGTAAAAGTTGTTGGGGTTAAGGGAGATGTGGGAAGTGATGAAGGAAAGAGAGTTTATGAGTTTGTTGAGGTGAGGAGGGATCATGGGACTTTGTTGCTACAATAGAGGATGAGCAGAGTCTGTATCATTTCTGTCACTCTCAGGTTTGCAGGGAAATATCGTGACACCCTGAGCTCCTATAAGGAGTCTTTCACCAATGGCGAGCTGAACTGTTCGGAGAGCGAGTGTGACTCCACCAGCCGCCGCCTGTCCTTCATGAAGATGGTGGGTCTTGGCAAGCTAAAGAGGGAGTCCATGGCTGACCACTCATCTCAGGGCCCTGAGGAGCAGCTGGTGCAGGAGGAGGTCGTGGAGGAGGTCAAACCCAGAGAGCCCCTATCAGGTAAGAAACAAACCATGAGAGGGTAATACATACCAACTCATGTCCGTCAGCCAACTCACAGGGATTATGGTGTGAATATAGACGATGCAGAAATATTTGTTGTCTACTCTTTGACCTCATCACAGCCTACAAGGAAACCCCAGGTTAGCACAGCAGAGCGTGGGGAGTGGCGATAATAACTTCCCCTCGGGAAACAATGGCCAAATGTCTGGATTTCACCACACTGTGTGTTGAGGACTCTCCAAACCCACAATACATCAAGTCAAGAAGGGGCTTCAAGCTGACTTTGTATTTCACCAGACTTTATAGATAATCCATAGTGATGTGGATGTGACGATGTAAAAAGGCCTCAAAGTTTCCTCTGATGAAAGTCAACAAGAGTTGTTTACCCTGGACCCGTCAGCTAGACCAGTCAACAGTTAGCTGGTCCAACTGACTGGGTAAATGACTCTTGGTGACTTTCATCAGAGGAAACTTTGAGGGTGGTGTTGTGTGTTTGATACCCTGGCCTTTATTAAAGACCACCTTGAACCCAGACCGGGATTATGATTACAGCTATTTGTGTGTACTCTGGAGATCTGACCCAGGACCAGAGTTGGACTGGATCCAACGGAGGCACTGAGGAGTTTAATTAAGTCTGAAAAGACAGAGTATCACATTTGTGCTGCAGAAGTTAAGAGACTGGAGATTCTCTTTTTTTTTAGAGAAATACTGACTTCTGCCAGTCTCTCTCTCCCTCTCTCTCTCTGTCCTTGTCTGTTAAAGTTGTCATCCAGTTTTATCATCCAGTTTGTTTTCACACCAGCCTGACTGATCTTATCTTCATCTGTCGACAGCCGGCAGGCTATTCTAGACCCTGACGCTGACAGTGAACCGGGGGGGCAGAGAGACAGAGAGAGAGAGAGAGAGAGAGAGAGAGAGAGAGAGAGAGAGGGAGAGGTATGAGCGGACAGACAGGTTAGTGAAGGTGACCTTGAAGCCAACTGGGTTACATTGAGATGCTGTAATTCTCCAGGAGTTCCCACAAGAACTCTGGAATGTATTTGGGAAGTGTGTGTGTGTGTATGTGTGTGTGTGTGTGTGTAAGATCATAAGTATTGGGCCGGTCCTGGAAATTTTTTAAGGGCGTCTATTGTTTATCGCACCCTGTTTACTCTCCTATTTTCTAATGAATGATTCAAATGTGTTTGTGTGTGTGTGTGTCCGTTTGTGTGTGCGTTTGTGTGTGCGTTTGTGTGTGCGTGTGTGTGTGTGTGCGTGTGCAGTGTGCTTTCAGTTCCCCCACACCCTTGTTTACATGTTAAAACAGTTGCTCTGTTTTATAACCCCACTGTGTCACATCATACATACTGTGTATGGTAGATAACCTGTATTCATTTTCATTATCAATTAATTTATCAATAATTCCCTCAATTAATCATTTGGTTTATAAAATGTCGATCACAGTTTTCCCAGAGTTCAAGGTGAACAGTATATTCAGTTTACAGTCACAGAGGACTAAAGACACTTGCAGAAATTTACATTTGAGAAGCAGAAACCAGAGAATTTATTTTCTTTGAAACTTCTCAAATGATTGATCAGTTATCAGAAATGTAAACATTGCAGCTGTGATGTTATGAACACATGAATATTCAAGCTCAATTGAGTCTGGATTTTTGGAGCTCATACAGTTTAATATTTGAGACTTTCAAATCAGCCAATCTTTTTTGACATAAAGACTCCTGATTTATCAGACATTGTCAGACCAATGATGAAGGAAACTGCAGATTAACACTTATGATGTTGGTGTTTCCCATTTTAAAATAATGTGTCAATATTAAAGTGTCAGTAAAGACGGCAGCTTGGAGCTTGGAGCTGAGTTTATTTATGTAACCATGGGCTTCTCAGGCAGAACCGCACCAATTTGGGTGATTTGAAAAAAGCATTTTTGATAAGGATCCTTTAATGTAGTTATTTAAGAATTATGATCCAGGTCTCTGGTGTTTGGGATATTTTACAGTGTAAAAATCAACTGGTAGATGAACTCTGTGATGGAGACACAGTTCCTGACCAATCATTATCAGCTGATTTTTATTAAAAATAATTAAAAATATGTGATTGGTAGAACGTAATTATTCTATTCACCGTTCACCTTCAAACTGATCACTCTTGTGTTTGTGGCCGTATGGGTGTGATGTATGAATGAGTGAATTGGTGAATGTGGCAAGTACTGTAAAGCACTTTGAGTGGTCAGTAAGACTAGAAAAGCGCTGTATAAGTGTAAAGTCCATTTACCATTTACCCAAGGACTGTTATATCACTGCATTACGTTCTTTTTTTCTATTGAGACTTCATATATACGGTATCTTGTTTGGAAATTTCCTCTGGTATTTTTGGAGATGTTAGGACCAGTCGGTCAATGTGCGCCATTGTCCTGGTAGCAACAGTGTTATCGCTGCAGCCAGTCAGAGAACAACTGTAATTAAAGGTAAGATAAAGCCTTCAGTCCTGACATGTTGCTTCACTGGTGCACTCACTATGACTGTTATCACCGTGATCACAAAGTGGAGTCTCCCAGTGACACAGGATTCAGTTAAATGGTCTGCTTGGTCCCCAGTAACTGAGACCAGACCAGGAACCAGAGTCCTTGAAACACACTCTGCTGTCTGAAGTGTGATGATGAACACACTGAGGGGAATATGAACACTGAGTCTCAGTTCAGTTTTATTCAGAGCAGAAAGTTCTGGATGTCAGATAAGGGCTTGTTTTTAGATGCTGATAAACCACCGTGTCAGCAGATCAGGTTACTCTGTGTGTGTGTGTGTGTGTGTGTGTGTGTGTGTGTGTGTGTGTGTGTGTGTGTGTGTGTGTGTGTGTGTGTGTGTGTGTGTGTGTGAGTGTGTGTGTAAATGGTACATAACAGTGATGCAGGTACAAATAACCCTGACTCGTCTACTTTTGTTTAGCAATAACACAAAACACACACACTCTCACACACACACACACACACACACACACACACACACAGTCCTGTTCTGCGGTTCAGTGGTTCTCGATCACTTTGTTCAACTGTTGAGGCTTCAGCTCATGTACAGCTGCACAACCTGCAGTGTTGAACCTGTAGCTTCATTTAAAGTCATTTCACATGAAGATGATGTAGTTTAGTTTGCCAGAAAATGCTCTAAAAACTCTAAAAACACTCCCAAAAAAGTCCAGACAAAACAAGGGCTGCAAAAAGTAAAAGTTTAATCATTAAATTCATTAAAAAAAAGAGTTACTGACATGTTCTGATGGTGTCTGACCTCGGTTTGACACAGATGTGGCGGTCCACTCTTATGGTTCCCTTCATGCTTTCTGCTGTCTTATGTAAGCATACAGAGCTGAGCTGACAGATACACATCAGTCACACTTCTGCACAGCAGGTATTCAGCGGCATAGCATCAAACATCAACACAACCATCTCCACGCTCTGTTCTGCATGGATGGTGGATGGAGATGAGCCCCATCATCCTCCTGCACATATGATGGTTATCAGGAGACATCAACAAGCTCTGAACAATCATTAAATAAAGACAAACACAAACCATTATTCTACCTGAAGAAGTTCATGTAGGATTCAAATGCTGTCAGTTGTTTTCAATATATCAAATAAAGTGGTTGGATCATCCAAAGTGGACGATTTCACAGGCCACATTTTTTTACATTGTGTCACAGATGCTCACAAGTCCAAGTCAAATCTCAAGCTCTAATGGTTGTGATGAACGATCTGCATCCAGTCTGCTGAGTACACTGTACTAACATACAGTATCTTAAGGATTCAAACCATGTCATGCTTCATCATCACTCCTTTATATAACTTACACATGATGGTAAAGTAGGGAATGAAATTCAGATTTTCAGACATTTCCTTTTCAATATGTTCCTCTTCTTCTGTGTTTTATTTGAAGTGTTGATCCATAAGAAGATATATTTGTGGTTTTAAGAACCAAAAACCATCTCAGTGTAGTTTTACATCTCCTCTCTCAGGCTTCTCTCTGCAGCTCTAGTAACAACAGGTTAGTGAGCCAATCAGAAGAGAGGAGGCTCTAAATGCAAATAAATGCAAATGGTGATGGTCAGTCAGCACTGAAATTAGACCAATAGACATTTGGACTACAGTGGTCCGGCTATGCTCTACCGAAGGCTGAATATAAACTACTAAGAGTCCTGAATAGAGATCAGCTGAAAATAGCTGATTTCATAAAAACACTCAGAGAAACCAAATCCTGCAAGGTTGGGTCCAGGTGGGCGGGGCTTGGGGCATGGCTGAGAGCGGTGACTGCTTTGTTGTGACATCACAAAGCTCCAGAAGTCCTGACGGCTGGTTTGAAGGCTCAGTTTCTGAATACAGGCTGTGTGCATTTCTCTGTGGACTGAGGCTTTGATACTTTCACAGTATTAATACAGAACCTAGACCTGCTTTATAATCAAACTACACATGGACAGAGACATTTAGACTATATGGAGCTTTAATGTAAAAATGCCAAAAACATTTTAAAGAATTGAAAAGGCGCTTAGTAGAGTGCAGATCTGTACATGCTCCAGAATTTACTGGGTTCTCCCCTGGACCATGTCCCATCCCTCTGCCAAGTCCGATCCAAATGGGTTCAGTGGGTTTTGTGTAATCCTGCTGACAAACAGACAAGGAAACACATAACCTCCTTGGGAGAGATAGTAAAATAAAGATAAGTCTTTTGAGGACATCTTAAGTCAGTGTGTGAGTGACTCAAGTCCATGTCGCAAACTCCAGCCCAATCTCTGCCTTGTGTACACCCCAGGAAGGTTAGCAACAGCTATCACAGAGGCTAACAGGGAAGCAATCAAACTAATAATAAAAAGTGGTAGTGAGTGTCAGTCAGAAGTATGAGTCCCATTACAGACCTGCAGATCATGTTTTCTTTTTCTGTGTATAACCATCTTTCACCAACATGAAGTTCCCATGTGTAGAGACTTTAGAAAAAAATTATTTATAATGATATTAT